GCATTTCCTAATATGGTAGTATGAAAATACCCTGTAAAATACCGCAAAATTACGACACGCTGTAATTTATGGCGTTACGGTGACAGATGTATAATACTACCTATTATTGTATTATTATATATTCATTCACATATTTTTAATTGCTCTTGTTTTGTTAATAATTAAAATTCATGAAATTGTAAAACCATATTATTAGAAGCGTATCTCAAATAGAAACTACCATAAACAATTTATTGTATACTGAATTATCTGTGTTATTTATCTAGTAAAGCTACTAATAGAGCAAATATGGTAGCTCTAATATGAGCAGAGTGAAATTTGAAAGCCTGTGAAAATAAATATGTTATGTATGGCATATGTTCTGAATACAACAAGTCTCAGTCATAATAAAAATAATAATTATAATAATAATAATAATGGCAAGGTCATACAATACCAGTAGAATATGTTTATGTTATTATATAATAATTCAGATGTACAGTGAAAGGATACAAAGGCAGGCACCTTTTAAATTATTTTATTTATAAATATTAAGTATTCAGAAATTCAAAACAATAAATATAGTGGCCATCGTGGAGACAAAGCTTTGAGATTCCTTGTAGACATTACGTGTGGAAAGTTACATCCTTATGACACAATGTTAAAGATTGCTGTAGAACATGTAGAGCCATCAAAACATACACCATGTCATTCCCTACTGATGTAAGTAGTCAGAGATGCATGAATTACTGGATTTTGAACAATATATGTAGTAATACACTACTCAGTTTATACACTATGATTACTCAGTGATATACTATGAATACTACTGTGCCGAGTAATATGATTACAGAGTACTTTGTCAAATACTACTTAGTTATTAATTATGATTATTTACTACTGTGCTTCGTAATACACTATGAGTACTTCCTTGTCAGTTGTAAAATGTCCTAAAATTGTCAAAATTCTTATAAATATTTACATCAATTTTAATTTCTATGGTAACCCATATTTTCATTTAATTTTCATCGCATATATCTAAATAAAGAAAATTACCTCATTTTTTACTGTTTAAACTTCATTATTTATTTCAGATTGCAGTGTGTACAGTGACAATATTCCCAATCCGACTCATCATCTTACTTATATTGTTACTGTTAGCATGGTTAATAGCCCGTATAGCACTCCTAGGACTCAAAGATGAAGATTTCAAAGAACCATTTTCTGGCTGGCGAAAGTATGTAACTTTGCATAGAATATACATTGATTTTTTTATGTTCGGATTTAGTCCCCTGAATTAAAACTGTTAATAAATATTGGTAAATATTAATTATTTTCTTAAGTTAAGAAGTAATGAAGTTGATTACTTTTTTTAATCTGGCATAATTTTGAGAAGCTGCAGTCAACTTTTGTCACTTTTTCCAACAAGAATTTTTTTTTCTTGATAAAGTTCTATCAACAGTTGCAAATTTAGAACTTATTATGATCAAATAATTATTTACTGAGATAATAGTGGGAAAAAAGGGATTGCAATTATGGCCATGAAGGAAAAACTGTCAGAAAGCCATGTAATTGTTAATTTTACGTTTTACTTTGGGTTGGGTAAAAAATTACGCAGTTTATTTTTCTTGATTTTCATTTAAAATTTGAAGCACGTTCCATACATTTACATACACTACAAATTTATTAGATGATGTCTCATTAAATTTGCCCATAAACACATTCACGTAAACATGTGCTATTAATAGAACAAATAAGGTAATATATTTCAGGTTTCCAGTGTGCATTTTACTGTTTACAAAAACACCTTTCCTTTAGTAGCCTTTTCTGGTGAAGGGGCAATGCCCTCTTTTCACTCAAAATCATTTAACGATAGTGATGGCCCTACTTCTAAGCAC